CTTAATAAATTCTTGGTGAATTAATTGAATAAATGAATTACTCCAAAGTGGTAATAATTTTAAGCTGTGTCATTCTTTTTAGAATTTTCTGGAACCAGTAGAAGAAAAGAATTACATTTTCCTTTTTTTTTTTTTTTAAATAACTTTATCGGGGCGCCTGGGTGGCTCAGTCGTTAAGCGTCTGCCTTTGGCTCAGGTCATGGTCCCAGGGTCCTAGGATCGAGCCCTGCGTTGGGCTCCCTGCTCAGCGGGAAGCCTGCTTCTCCCTCTCCCACGCCTCCTGCTTGTGTTCCCTCTCTCGCTGTGTCTCTCTCTGTCAAATAAATAAAATCTTTAAAAATAAATAACTTGTGGAAATTTCCAAAGGTCTAGAAAAGCAGATAGAATAGCATAATGAACCTCCATGAAGCCATCACTAAGTTTTAACAATGTTGAGAATCTGTTTTCAAGCCCTACCTAATTTTTCCCTGGAATATCTTAAAGAAAATTCCATCACATGATTTTATTTACCTTTTTTTTAAAAAAATTTATATTTAAATTTCTCTCAGAATTGTCTTTTTACATTTGATTTGAGTCAGGATTCTAACAAGTTTCACACCTTGCACTTGGTTGATGCATCATTTTAAGTCTTAATTTATGAAATCACCTTTTTTAGTTTATGCCATTTATTTATTGAATAAGTCAGATTATTTAGCATGTAGAATTTCTCACATTTTGAATTTGATGATTGCACCATCTTTGTGGTGGTGTTTAATATGTTCCTCCTCTGTTTTTCGTGAACTGGTCGTTAGATTTAGAGGTTTGATTAGATTCAACTTCCATTCTTTTGGTAGGAACACATCACATGTTGTGCAGTTATATTGTTGTCCACTTTTAGCGATGTTGAGATTGATCATTGAGTTCAGATTGTCCTGACCCATTATAAAGTTACATCTCAACCTTTCATCTAATGGGTTTAGCAACTATCGATGGTCATTGTCTAGATCCATTATTTCATTAGGGGTTGAAAATTGGTGATTTTTTCCCCTAATTATTCCATATGCATTAAACATTTTTTTGTTTAAATTCCAGTTAGTTAACATACAGTGTTAAATTAGTTTCAGGTGTACAATATAGTGATTCAACAATTCTGTACATGACTCAGTGCTTATCATGGTAAGTGTGCTCTTCATCTCCATCACCTGTTTCCCCCATCCCCCCACCCACCTCCCCTCTGGTGACCATCAGTTTGTTCTAGTTAAGAAACATACAGATGGCTAACAGACACATGAAAAGATGATCAACATCACTCATCATCAGGGAAATACAAACCAAAACTACAATGAGTCAGCGAAGTTAAGCTTAAAAGATAAAGCATAGCTCTCTGGGGTGCATCTCTGTTCTAAAAGTTGTAGTTATGAGTGTTGAAGAAATTGAGGAACTTATTTAGGGATAGCAAGTGTTAGGACTGATATGAGTTCCAATAAAATTTAGGATGAAGGGGGTGCCTGGGTGGCTCAGGTGTTAAGCGTCTGCCTTTGGCTCAGGTCATGATCCCAGGGTCCTGGGGCCGATCCCCATATAGGGCTCTCTGCTGGGCGGGAAGCCTGCTTCTCCCTCTCCCACTCCCCCTGCTTGTGTTCCCTCTCTCGCTGTGTCTCTCTGTCAAATAAATAAATAAAATCTTTTAATTAAAAAAAAAAGGATGAAGAACACATTGGGATCTTAAAAGGGGCATTGTGTCCAGTGGTAGAACTGAGAAGAGTAAGACTTTTCCATCAATTTAAAAGAAATATTTTAAAAATCAGTTTATGTAGGGGATGGGGCTGCCTCAGTGGCTCAGTTGGTTGAGTGTCTGGCTCTTGGTCTTGGCTCAGGTCTTGATCTCATGGTTGTGAGTTCAGGCCCTGAGTTGGGCTCCATGCTGGGTGAGGAACCTACTTAAAAAAAAAAAAAAAAAAAAATCAGCTTATGTGGGGTGGTTAAAAAGTTTGGAAAACAGATAGTGGTGATGGTTGTACAACATTGTGAATGTAATGCCTCTGATTTGTACATTTAAAAATGGTTAAAATTGCAAGTTTTGTTTTATGATTTTACCACAATTTAAAAAATTAATAATGTAATATACCCAAAACTCTAATATTGTATACTTTTAATCAATGAATTGTTTGATGTGTAAATTATATTTTAATAAAGCTGTTAAAAAAAACAATATGTATAGAGCTAAGCCAGAAATTTCTGTAGAAGTCAAGTTAAAGGGAACTGGTCTAGTCCTTGACAACTGGCTTAAGCATCTTGTTTGACTGCTTTGTCTCTAGTACTCAGTAAATATTTTTAAGTTAAACAATAAACAAATAAAAAAATTAAAAAAAACTACAATGAGATATCACACATGTCAGAATGGCTAAATTTAACAATACAGGAAACAACAGATGTTGGCGAGGATGCGGAGAAAGGGGAACCCTTTTACGCTGTTGGTGGGAATGCAAACTGGTGCAGCCACTCAGGAAAACAGTGTGGAGGTTCCTCAAGAAGTTAAAAATAGAGCTACCCTACAACCCAGCAATTGTACTACTAGGTATTTACCCCAAAGGACACAAGAATACTGATTTGAAGGGGCACCTGCACCCCAGTGTTTATAGCAGCATTATCAACAATAGCCAGATTATGGAAAGAGCCCCAATGTCCACCAACTGATGATACACAGGATGGAATATTACTCAACTGTAAAAAAGAAAGCTTGCCGTTTGCTACAGTGTGGATGGAGCTAGAATGTATTATGCTAAGCGAAATAAGCCAGAGACAAATACATGATTTCACTCATATGTGGAATTTAAGAAACAAAACATGAACATAGGGGAAAGAAAAAAAAAGGCAACCCATAAAATAGACTCTGACCTATAGAGAAGGAGGGAGGTGGTTAGGGGATGGGCTAAATGGGTGATGGGCATCGGGTGTTCTATGTAAGTGATGAATCACTAACTTCTCCTGAAACTAATATTACACTCTATGTTAACTAACTGGACTTTAAATAAAAACTTGAAACAAGAGAGTCTGTTTGTTGGTTTGTCTTTTTTCCCCCCTATGCTCATTTGTTTTGTTTCTTAAATTCCACATTTATTAGCTAGAATGTTTCTAGGATAGTTGCTTGATTCTTTCCATTTATTGTTTTTCAAATACGTTGTTTCCTTAATAACTCTGCAAAGGTGACTTTTTTTTAATATTTTGGATATTTCACATATTTACATTTCTGTTCAATGCATTATTTTAGTGTTCATATGATCCCATTTTTAGCTGGTGGGGACCCTATCAGGTTGGCCCTTCCATCCTTTGACGTGATCCAGTTATTTTGATAGCTTGTTGACTATTTCCTAAACTTGTATTTAAGGTTATAGGACTTTAAATTAATTTCTTTAACTTTTATATTAGTATCTATTTCCTGAATACTTATAGTGTTAGTTCTTTGTTTTAAGTTTTATTTATTTATTTGACAGAGGGAGCACAGGTAGAGCAGTAGATAGAGGCAGAGGGAGAAGCAGACTCCCCGCTGAGCAGGGAGCCCGATGCGGGGCTCGATCCCAGGACCCTGGGATCATGACCTGAGCCCAAGGCAGATGCTTAACTGTCTGAGCCACCCAGGCGCCCCTAAAGTGTTAGTTCTTAATAACATTTACATAATTTTTTATTTTCTCTCTTTCTCTCCTACAAGGCGATTATAACTATATATAACTTTTTTTTCTCAGTACTCATTAAGTATATTCTTTTTTAAGTTTTTATTTAAGTTCCAGTTAACATACAGTATAATATTAGTTTCAGGGAGACAGTTTTTGATTCAGCACTTCCATACATCACCCCGTGCTCATCAAAGCAAGTGCCCTCCTTAATCCCCATCCCCCCTTTTTTTTTTTAAGATTTTATTTATTTATTTGAGAGAGAGGGAATGAGAGACAGAGAGCATGAGAGGGAAGAGGGTCAGAGGGAGAAGCAGACCCCCCGCCGAGCGGGAAGCCCGACGTGGGACTCAATCCAGGGACTCCGGGACCATGACCCGAGCCGAAGGCAGTCGCCCAACCAACTGAGCCATCCAGGCGCCCAATCCCCATCCCCTATTTCACCCATCCCCCTGCCCACCTCCCCTCTGGTATCCATCAGTTTGTTTTCTGTGGTTAAGAGTCTCTTTCTTGGTTTGCCTCTCCCTCTCTCTCTATTTTTCTTTTGTTCATTTGTTTTGTTTCTTAAATTCCCCATTTGAGTGAATTCCTATGGTATTTGTCTTTTTCTGACTGACAGATTATAATTATATATCTCTCTTAATACAACAAAGAACCAAAGCTAAGGAAGTACACAGACTCTACTGTCTGAGGGAACCTAGTCTCTTTTTTTTTCTGCAGATCTGGTTCACCAAATTCTTCTGGGGTGCCTCTTTTAACATTAAAAAAAAAAAACTGTGGCAAGGGTTTGTACAAAAATAATGCTTGGTTACATGACCTAATGTCTTTTTTTTTTTTTTTTATCTACTGTCACTTATAAAAGGTTGGACAGACCTGGAGGTAGAGGGCTTTTACTACCACTATCAATAGCAATAGTGTATAAAGTGTGTAGTTATACACTGAGTAAGAACTCAATAAGTACTACCCCTGAAACAAATAATGCATTATATGTTAATTAATTGAATTTAAATTTTAAAAGTAAAATAGTAAGTACTTTTTAAAAATTTTATTCTAGATTTGAGTGACTTTAAGAGTAGAGTCCTATGGGCTAGAATCCTAAAAGAATAGTGTTTCCAGAGGTCTTCATACTGTTAAACCTTCCTCTTGTTTACCTCTTAGATTTATTTTTGCTCCTGTTCTGGAGGGAGCCACATTCTCTAAGCCTGGCTAATTTGAGTTCTCCCACTCTCAGATTAAAATTTGAATATGAAAATGGATTCTGTTAATACAGAGGCAAATGAAGTTATTTGGTGCTGATACTTCTTTAATACCAATGAGAAACTAACTTGATTTCCTTTTTTTCTTTTCCAGATGATGGGCATAAGAAAGCTCGAAATGCTTATCTCAATAATTCCAATTACGAAGAAGGAGATGAATATTTTGATAAAAACTTGGCACTCTTTGAGGTAATATTTGGGAGAAATCTAGGGCAGAAATTTCAGGAACAGATTTCAGAAAATGGGTTTTCTATCCCATTTATTTTTAAAACAGTACAGGCTGGATAATTTTAAGAACTACTTGTTAAAATATAATACTATAACTTGTCATTGTAGTTGATTTACTCTATATAATTTAATTTTCACTAATAAGTAGCCATTAAATCAGATTTCTATGAATTGAGGAAGAATGTTGACATCACAGGCATGGAGAACCTTGCTGTCTAATTCAGCTAGGATTTAAATATTTGCATTGGAATTATCTATGAAGTATAAAATAGAGTATTTTTCAACTCTGTGTTTGGGAAGACCATCATTTACCTTAGAACCCTTAGAACTACTAAAAGAAAAATCAGTGTAGGAAATAGGCTGCCAAAATAAGAGGGCCTGTCTGTATGTCTTACCCAAGACCATATGGACTCTGACGGGCTCTGCAGTCGGATAGTTGAAAGGATCCTGCTTTGGTCCAGCACTGCCTTTGTGTCTGGCTTTGGACAATGATGTAAGTTCCAGTTCTCTTAGTGTACCTGTTTTTTAAATGATATCTTCTTTCAGCATTCTTCAAGAAAAGATCTGAGATAAATATTTAGTTCAGTCACAAAAGTTTTTTATTGAGCTGTCTGTGCTTGGTGCCATAAATAATAGCCATAAATGTTATTAGAATGTTATCGCCTAGCCTAGGGAACCAGGGTGGCTCAGTCGGTTAAGCATCCCGACTCTTGACCTCAGCTCAGGTCTTGATTTCAGGGTCGTGATTTCAAGCCCCACGTTGGGCTCCATGCTGGGCATGGAGCCTACTTAAAAAAAAAAAAAAAAAAAAAAAAGAATGTTAGTAGCCTAAAGAAAGGGGCACTGTAGTTAGAGGTAATGTTATTAATGTTTTTTTAAGATTACAGCTGTCTGTAGGGGCCAGTGTGATTTTGCTTTTACTGTAAAGTTAAGCCATTAGAAAGAATGATAAAGCTTTTCACTTAAGAATTTTATAAGGATTTGTATAGTCCTGATTGATATTTTAATGTGGGAGGAGAATAAAGCCTCATTTATAAATTTTCTTAAAATATTTACCTGTGATATATTTTCTCATTTAATTTGCAATTTTCTGGTAGAGGGCCACCTTGATGCTTATTTCCAGTGTTCTTTATTACGCATTTCCTCCATGTCTCTGGGTTTATAGGAAGAAATGGACACCAGACCAAAGGTATCTTCTCTCCTCAACCGTATGGCCAATTATACTAATCTGACACAAGGAGCGAAGGAACATGAAGAAGCAGAGAACATCACTGAGGGGAAAAAGAAGCCCACTAAGGTGAGGCCTTCAAATAACAAGGATAAATAAAAAGAGCCCCATAAATAAGTAAGAAAGGAGGAAATATCCAGGGCATCACTCTCTGCTCAGTAACTGTTGAATGTTGATATATGCCAGGCACTGTTCTGGGCAGGTCATAGCAAAAACAGAACATACAATGTCCTGCTCTCAGGCAATCTAAATTCTAGTATGAGGAGATAGTTGTTAAACTGTATATTATGTGTTGACGATGGTCTAACAAAAATATAAGCAGGGACAGATGGTAGCTACACTTGCGATGAGCATAGCATAACATATGCAAAGACTTGTCAAATCACTTTGTTGAACACTAATGTAACATTGTGTGTTAACTTCAATTATTAATTCATTTTTTTTAAAAAGTCAGGATGGGGCGCCTAGATGGCTCAGATGGTTAAGCGTCTACCTTTGGCTCAGGTCATGATCCCAGGGTCCTGGGATTGAGCCCCACATCAGGCTCCTGGCTCAGCGGGGAGCCTCCTTCTCCCTCTCCCTCTGCCTCTCTCCCTGCTCATGCTTTCTCCTCTCTATCTCTGTATCTCTGTATCTCAAATGAATAAATAAAATCTTTAAAAAAAAAATTCTTAAAAAAAAAAAAAAAAGTCAGGGTAAAGACACTGAAACTGGCCAGCAAGAGAGCCAGGGCAGAGGGGGTTGCTATTGTAGAGAGGTTGGTCAGGGAAGGCCCTTTCTGACAGGGTGATGTTTGAGCAGAGGCCTAACCAGTGTGAGACAATGAGCCCCCTAGTTGGGAGAAGAGCATTCCAGGGACAGGGAATAGCACTTCAGAAGAAGAGGGTTAACACCCATCTGCTGATACCATCTCTCTCTGTTGTCAAGTGATGGGGTTTTTCAAAGACTAAATTTCAGTTTTTCTCAAAATGAAAATATGGAACAATATTACAAGTTAGCTTTCTGGTTGTTCAGGGATAAAATGACCCTCAGATCTTCATTTTACCAACTGCATTTACCAGCTACCATGAAGGATTTATGCCAGACTCTGAAGGAAGTTCATCAAATCATTATTCAGTTTTTAAATGAAAAGGGAAAGCTAGGGGCACCTAGCTGACTCAGTCAGTGGAGCGTGTGACTCTTGATCTCAGGCTTGTGAGTTCGAGCCCCACGTTGGTTGTAGAGATTACTTAAAAATCTTAAAAAAAGGGGGCACCTGGGTGGCTCAGATGGGTAAGCATCTGCCTTCGGCTCAGGTCATGATCCCAGGGTCCTGGGATCGAGCCCCGCATCGGGCTCCCTGCTCGGCGGGGAGCCTGCTTCTCCCCCTCCTTCTGCTTCTCCCCCTGCTCATGTTCTCTCTCTCTCTCTCTCTGTATCTCTGTGTCTCGAATGAATAAATAAAAAAAATCTTAAAAAAAATAAAAACTAATAGCTTCAAAGAACAGAACATTTTAATTGTTGGGGGTACACTTAAAAGTTTGTGGTCAAATGACCATGTAAAAACAAATGGGGACCTGTGTAAAGTAAAAACGTATAGCTCTAGGAAAAATGTGATCATTTATAAGATGGAGATTTTATATGTGCCTCTTTTAAGATACTGATTATACTAATTATGTGTTTTGTAAGTTAAGATGGGAGTTAAGGAGCAACTTTTTATATACAAATAAAGGGATAAAAGCATCTCTTCTAGATGACTATGTAATTTTTCTTTTGTCAACATCTTTCTTTGCAGACCCTTCAAATGGGTACTTTCATGGGTGTCTACCTCCCATGCCTACAAAATATTTTTGGAGTGATTTTGTTTCTACGCCTTACATGGGTCGTGGGCACAGCTGGAGTTCTTCAGGCCTTTGCAATTGTCCTTATCTGCTGCTGCTGTGTAAGTCCCCAGTTGGCTCTTAGAGATCACCTGGAACATTGCAGGAGCTCAAGATTATATGCACTTGACTTATTTGAGAATAACACAAAGACTGTTCGGGAAAGACTCATGATCTCAACAGGAGACATTATTTTGATATTAAGCACTGAAGGATTTTCAGTTATTTAGTGTCCAGTCTTTGGTGCTTATATGCGTAATATGATGTACTAGAAATTACAAAGGAAGACTTTTAGAGGAGGTAGAAGATGTAGTCCTTGATTCAAAGAATTCAGAATACAAACCGTTGGAGTTTGATAGCACCAAAGTTAGAAAATGATGATGTACTACTCCAGTATAGTATTGAGGAACAAAACTGATTGTTGTTTGGGGTGAGGGGTATTTGTTTTGTTTTGAAGGCTCATCTGTTATCCCTTCCCCAGAAATTCAGGTGTGCTTTCCAGGTCTTCTCCCCACTGTACTGAGAACATTCTGATCTTGTTTGAATTTAAACTCCTCTTATCCACATACCCCAGCCACATCTATCAATTTTATTTTAAGTTGATTATTACTAAAAATTTTTATTTTTTTTATTCAACTGCTGGCCTCTTTAATTACTATCATTATTATACCCTCCTGGTACATTATGCTCAGCTGAGTGCTACATAAAGCAGGATAAGAAGACATAGTTTGTATCATTAATAACTTAATAGTACTACCTTTTTCTTTTTTCTCTGTTTCTTACTCTTAAAACTTGAGGGCCATGTTTGGCTCCTTGATTGCCTCTCACATCTAATCAGCTACCAAGGTCAATCATGTCTCCCTCTGAAATCTCTTACATACAACCCTTCCTTTGTATTCCTGTTACTAGCACTACAGTCCTTACTTTTCACTGAACTATAATAGCCTACTAACAAGTCACTCTGCCTTCATCTGCTCCCTATCTGCAGTCCATTCTATGCTGCTACCAGGTAATATTTTCAAAATACAGTTTTTATTATTTCAGAAGTCTGCAGTGGTTCCTCTCACTGAATATTGTTCTTGTAATTGTAGCTAGTCCTTAGTCAGTTTCCAGTCTGTTTTCCAAGTGAACTAGGAGACCAGGGTGAGATCAGTGGCTCCTACTAGCACCTAACCTACTGCTTATGATATAGAAGCATTTTAACAGAATACTCAAGACAACAGTAATGTGACTAGGGCAATGAGTTGAACCACATCATCTCATTTCCATACTATTAGGTATGGCAGCCACCTCCCTCCATAAAGGTAGGAAGAGTTAATTTTTCAGAAAGTGCTCTGAGGCCCACAGACGGGAAAATAGTACAGAACTACAGTAACAATCTTTTCCTTCACTTCCTTTACAGACAATGTTGACTGCTATCTCCATGAGTGCCATTGCCACTAATGGAGTGGTGCCAGGTCAGTAGGCTGGATTTCAGGGATTGTCAGCAACTACTGTATGTTTATGCTATAAAGTCAGAAGTGCAAACTTCCGAGGACTAGAATACTATTTAGTCTCTTGGTCATAGATATTCACACTATTTGACTTGAGAATACATTCTTTAAAAATCTCTTTATGTTGTAAACTAGGGGAACCCTCACTCGCTGTTGGTGGGAATATAAACTGGTATAACCACTTTGGAATAACAGCATGGAGGTTCCTCAAAAAATTAAAGATAGAAATCCACACAGTCCAGTTATTTCACTGCTGGGATTTATCTGAAGAAAACAAAAACAGTAATTCAAAAAAATATATGCACCCTTCTGGTTTTTACTGTATTATTTACAATAACCCAAATATGGAAGCAACCTAAGTGCCCATCAGTAGATGAATGAATACAGATGTGGAGACACACACACACACACACACACACTCACCAGAATATTATTCAACCATAAAAAAGAACAAAATCTTGTCATTTGTGATAACACAGGTGGACCTAGAGATCCACTTTATGCAAGTGAAATAAGTCAGACAGAGAAAGACAAATACCATATGATTTTACTTATATGTGGAACCCAAAGAAATAAACGGTTGTCAGAGAGGAGAGGAATGGGGGGCATCGGCAAAATAGGTGAGAGGGAATGAGAGATACAAACTTCCAGTTACAAAATAAGTCACAGGAATGAAAAGTACAGCATAGGGAATACATTCAGTAATATCATAATAACATTGTATGGTGACAGATGGTAACTACACTTTGGTGTGCATAATGTACAGAATCGTCAAATCACTATGTTGTACACTTAAAACTAATATACCATTTATGTCAGCTATACTTCAATTAAAAGAAAAAGGAAAAAATCTCATCATGTTCTAAGCTAGAATCCTCAATTTGTATCACCTTCCTAGCTTCTTTTTAGTTAGAATGTATTTTATTGGGCTGTCTCATGCCTGTAGTAAATATTCTTTGATGCTTATCTAATTAATACTGACAAATTGTGCTACTTCATGTGGAGCATTAGATGTTCAGCATATTCTACCATAAAGGTTTTATCTTTTACTTCCCATTAGCAAATCTACTTTTTATCACATTCAGAGTTTTGAAAAACTTGAAACATTTATCGTTCTTATTTATGACTTGTTTACATTCTTCTTACTGATGTACTTTCTTTATCCTTACATTCTGTTTTGTCTTTTAGCTGGGGGCTCATACTTTATGATTTCCCGAGCACTGGGCCCAGAGTTTGGTGGGGCTGTTGGCCTCTGCTTTTATCTTGGTACCACATTTGCAGCTGCCATGTATATCCTTGGTGCCATTGAAATTTTTCTGGTGAGTAATAGCTTAATTGTGGTCTACAGTGTAGAAAAGATAGAGATTTGGATTTATTTTGTTGTTTGAAAGAAAGCAAAACTTCTGAGAGATCCATTACAGAATCAATCAGGTGATTGACTGTTAACCTGTTATTGACTTCCTCTTGTGAACATAAGTCAGAAAGGTTGAGAGTATCCTTTGCCTGCATACTGCTTCCCTACCACCCATTCACCAACACCCTACCACTTCATCCAGGAAGTTAAAGTCTTGATCAAGGCAAGACTTGCATTAATAGGGAAAAAGTAAAAGTTTTTATCTTTTTTGATATCTTCATCCCAGTGAAAAAAAATGTTTTTCATTTCTTTATTCACTGGAATTTTTTTTTACTATTTAAAATAATCATAAGTAAGTAGGAATAATGAGATAGGAATCAAGATAATCATTACATTTTATATAACCCTTTGAATAAATTACTAATGCTTTTTTTGCTGTTTCTGTTTGGAAATGTAGATATTCAGAGTAGCATGTAGTCTTAAAAAAAAAAAACATAAATGATATCCAATTTCTGTAGGAATTAGGTTAAGTCTCCAGTCATTTTCTATCTTAGCTTTGCTTTGCTGTGTGAAAACAAATGCAAACTACAACAATCCTTTTACTTGATGACTTTGAAATGACCTCATTTTCTACTTCTTTTGCTTAACAGGTATATATTGTCCCCCGAGCTGCGATCTTTCGTAGCGATGATGCACTCAAGGAATCAGCAGCCATGCTCAATAACATGCGTGTCTATGGCACAGCCTTCTTGGTCCTTATGGTATTGGTGGTGTTCATCGGTGTACGCTACGTGAACAAGTTTGCCTCACTTTTCCTGGCCTGTGTCATTGTGTCCATCTTGGCCATCTATGCTGGAGCCATCAAGTCTTCTTTTGCCCCTCCACACTTCCCGTACGTGTCTGTCTCTCTGACCGGCCATCAGTTACTGGGTAGTCAGTGACAGTGTCTGGTGATATGATCACTTCAAGTACAGTTTCAATCTCCCAGAGATTTTGCTCGTAGATGAGCTCAGTTAGTGTCTGGGCAGGAAGCCTCCCAGCAGACTTCTCATGTTGACCCTCTTCCTTACGTCCCAGGCATGGAACTGGCAGCTCTAAACATCATTTGGATATAGATACTAGGTTTTTCTCAAAACTTCCTTAAAATGATTGTGTATATTTGAACAACTATTCATGAAGAGCTTTACAATAGTATAGTTATTACCAGCAAGCTTTGTAAAGTACAAATGTTGGATTCCTATTATTAATAAAATATCAAGAGAATCAAAGAAACCTAAATTCCTACCTAAATATTTGTAATTAATTAAACTTTTTAACCTGCTGTTAATACCATAGCAGACTTTCTGGTTATAAAATAAGGAGAAATAAATGTCACATTTTTACATATATATATATCTCTATATAGAGATTGTATGATATACCCTAAGTAGTGCAGGTACATTAAAGTGTATTTTTTTAAGTAGTAATGGATTTGTACAGATAGGTGAGTCTCCAGTCACCTGTTCTCTATTTGACCAGTGGCATAGAGATTAGCTAGCACTGAGAGGTGTTTGTAATCTTGTTACAGAGATTGTCTTTAAAAAGTCATCTGGATTATCTAGGTATGTATCAAACTCCTCACTCCTATGTTGATTTAACCTGATTACAGAAAAATAGTTTTTTTGAGATGAAAAAGCAGATCTATAGAGATTAAATGACTTTCCCCAAAGTTAGTTAATGGCAGAGCAAGAATATGAACCCTTCGATTTCCTAACTCTTGGTCCAGTATTTCTTCTACTATGCTAAATGACGTCAGTGATAGATTCCATCATCAATTTTTAGTCTGCTCATTTAGGGACTGCAGACTAGCCGAAAGTACTGAAGGCTATATTCTGGATATCTTAACTTGAGAAATTCTATTTTGCCTGAAGTTCTCCTTTGATGCTTCTCTTTTTTGGTGAGTAAAAGGTCATGATGGGTGATATTTTCGTTAAAATATTCCAGCAGAACAAGACCAAATTCCCTAGAGGAATGCTTGAAACAAGACTGGGCAATATTGAGTTGTTGAAGCTGAGTAATGGGTACATGGTTCATTATGTATATATGCTGTCATTTTTGCAGATTTAAAAAGTTCTTTGTTCCTCTTGAGAGGTACTTTAACTATGGGAGTATTATTCTTTTGTTCATATTTATAACTCTCGGTTAAAGAAAAAAATAAAATCAGTTATTATTTGTAATATCCTTAAATACCTTCACTCCCACTGGGTCTAGGCTTACATTTAAAAAGTTTTCTCTTAGGCCATAGTGGGATGTGCTTTTTATTCCAGCCAAGCTGTCTTTCTCGAAACAGTAGCCAGAAGATTTGACCTTTAATGAAACATTTTCAGAGGGGTTGTTATGAACATAGGCTTTTCTAGGCCAAAAAAAGGGGGGAATTTTTTTTTTTTTTTTTTTAGAAAGAACAAAAGGACTGTAGGATTCTTTTAGACCTAACAGTTGGTTAATAATCTAGAAAATTTCGGGGCGCCTGGGTGGCTCAGTTGGTTAAACCGCTGCCTTCAGCTCAGGTCATGATCCCAGGGTCCTGGGATCGAGCCCCACGTCGGACTCCCTGCTCATGCAGGAAGCCTGCTTCTCCCTCTGCCTGCCGCTCCCCCTGCTTGTGGGGAGGTCCCTCTCTCTCTCGCTATCTCTCTCTGTGTGTCAAATAAATAAATAAAATCTTTAAAAAAAAAATAATAATCTAGAAAATTTGGAAGATGAGTAAGCACAGTGTCTTCAGACAGTTATTGTGTTTGAATTCTATCACCCTGCTATCAGTATGACTCGGGCAGACTACTTTATTGCCCTAAACTTCAGTTCCTCCATCCACAACATAGAAATACTAATGCATATTTTGTGAGATGGCTGTCAGGATTAAATTGCAGAAAATGTAAATAAATCTCCATCTACAGAACAAGTCAATAAGTATTAGATCCTTTCACGTCCTCTTAGAGATGAGGGTTTTTTGTTTTGTTTTTTCCATTACTAACCTATTTCTAACCTACCTTCTTTTTTTTAATTTTTTTTTTTTTTTTTTTTTACCCTTACTTCATCTTTCTCTCTGTTTCACTTAGGGTCTGCATGCTGGGTAACCGCACCCTTTCATCAAGACACATTGATATTTGCTCTAAGACCAAGGAAATTAACAACATGACAATACCGTCAAAGTTATGGGGCTTCTTCTGTAACTCGAGTCAGTTTTTCAATGCCACCTGTGACGAATACTTTATTCACAATAATGTCACTTCAATTCAGGGCATTCCTGGATTGGCTAGTGGTGTCATTACAGGTAAGTCAGGAGGTTTTTGAACAAGTTTTTAATCTGCTCAGGAAAGCAGGCTTTTCAATCGTAGACTCATATTGTCCACAATGTCTCACTGCCACAGTATCCCTTCCCTCCTTAAGCTCAGCACCCCGCTCTAAATTCAACGTCTTTCTGCTTTTCTGTTAGTGAACTTACCCTTTTTCAAACTCTCTTGTGACACTTTCTGCTAAAATATTTCTCCTTTGGGGGCGCCTGGGTGGCTCAGTCGTTAAGCGTCTGCCTTCGGTCCTGCAGTTGAGCCCCGCATCGGGCTCCCTGCTCCGCGGGGAGCCTGCTTCTCCCCCTCCCTCTGCCTGCCGCTCCCCCTGCTTGTGCTCTCTCGCTCTCTCTCCCTCTCTCTCTGGTGGATAAATAAATAAAATATTTTCAAAAATAAAATAAAATTTCCCTCCTTTTGAGAGCAAAGCTAGGCAAATCACTTTTTGAAGTCGACTGAAGTAATACAGTACCCTGTGTGTTGCACTGTGAGACGGCCAGTGTTCTTCCCACAGTGACAGTCAGGTGGAGCTTGCAGTGCCACCACATCCACATGTACTGTTTTCCTCACTCAGCCCAGTTTCTGAAACTCTTGCCTTAAGTGACTTCTGTCTTAAATGTTTGGTCCACAGATGTCTTTGTGCGTAATCAAGTTTACACTAAGGTGTTAGAAATAGCATTGATTACTAATTTAAAAGAAAAATAAGCTTTTCTGAGCATTCATCTTTAGTCCACTTAACTTCTACTAATTTGCATTTGTAAATTTAACTGTATTTGTATGTACCAAAGCATTTTGTCAAATTACATTTGAATCAGATGAGAAAGAGCATTAGGTTTTTATTTATGTGTTCTTTATTGTATGATATATATGTGCTCATGTAGAAGCAAACATACCTTTAAGAGCTATATAAATGAGGAATCTGATTTAGAATATTGTTTAGGTAGAAAATTACCTAATTATCTTCTTTCCATACTTCTGTTGCTTATATACCTTTTTCTTCCCACTGCAGAGAATCTTTGGAGTAGTTACCTACTAAAGGGAGAGATCATTGAAAAGCCCTCAGCCAAATCTTCTGATGTCTTAGGCAGTTTAAACCATGAATATGTCCTTGTTGACATCACCACCTCTTTTACTCTTCTGGTGGGGATCTTCTTCCCCTCTGTCACAGGTAAGAAGAAGGGCTGTTGTCTATTTTAGAAGTTAGGAGACCAAAGGAGTGATTTTTCTTAAGAGACAGAATTATATTCTCAGGCTTCTCAGATTTGCTTCCAATCTTTGGTATCAGCATGAATATCAAAGTATCCAGGAACTAAGAAGTTAACTTGTTCTTTTTTCCCTCTAAAGGTATCATGGCTGGATCAAACAGATCTGGAGACCTGAAGGATGCTCAAAAGTCTATTCCCATTGGCACTATTCTTGCCATCCTGACCACCTCCTTTGTCTGTATCCTTTTCATGGATCCAGCCTGAGTTTTAGTCATAGGCATATCTGTGGAATGAGGCTGATCAATATTTTTATCCTGGTAATAAAGATACCTGCTTTCTACCAGCTCACTTCTCACCAGATAATCTATCCTCCTCAGCTCTAAAATTCAAGAAAGAATTGACAACATTAGTGAATCTAGCACCTCATTTTACTGATAGAAGAAATATCCTGAGTGTTTACTTTCTCAGAGGGTTGTAGGTCAGCTTCCTTGACTCTCAGTATGGTAGATTTAAGCAATGTTGTCCTTTTTGGTGCCTGTATTGAAGGTGTTGTTCTTAGAGACAAGTAAGTAGTCAATCTCTTTGTAACATTTATGTGTCTGTCTTCCATTATATCTGATCATTCCACATTGCCCCACAAAAGTCATAAACTCAAAACCCAACCTGAGGTATAGATCATGACTAACAATTTGAAAATATATGTATATAGTTCCCAAAAAGGTTAGTGAATAATAAGTACCAGTTATATTATAAGTATGTGAGATGCAATGCATATAGCGCTTCAATAAAGTAGTGTATTTGTTTGCATAATAAGGGCTTCCCTACACATGAAGAGCTGTTGGAAACTAAAACCAAAAGTGAAGGAGAGCAAGTTAAAAAAAAAAAAAAAAAAAAAAAAAAACAGGGTGCCTGGGTGGCTCAGTTGGTTAGGTGACTGCCTTCGGCTCAGGTCATGATCCTGGAGTCCCAGGATCAAGTCCCGCATCAGGCTCCCTGCTCAGCAGGGAGTCTGCTTCTCCCTCTGACCTTACCCCCTCTCCTGCTCTCTCTCTTTTTCTCATTCTCTCTCACAAATAAATAAAATCTTTAAAAAAAAAAATAAAAAACTTTCAAGTGTCTTTAGCATCTCCTCTATGAGACATGGAAGTATGTATCTGTTTATCATTCTAAATACAATCTTAAAACTTTCTTCATTTTATTCATGAAGACCACTGGGTGTTTTTCCTTTCCTCTCACCTATGAACAAAAAATATGTTTTTGTAAGAGATTCCTAGAAAAATCTTTCCCCTAAACCTGCTAGATCTCTTCCCATTTTCCCCATCTGGGGGAGTTACTAGCCTCACCATTCACCCTTTCTCAAAACAGAAACATAGGTGCCATCCTAGACTTTTGCCACCAGTTCCCTCAGCCAGTTTCTAAGTCCTGTGAATTCCACCTTTCATCTTATTAGATCTCCTTTCTACTATTCTTTATCCCCATCCCTTTGCCCAGGCCTTCAGGATCTTTTGCCTAAAGTAGTGTAATTATCTCCCTTTCAGTAATACCACCTTCCAATCCTTCTTTCCCGCTGCTGCCAGAATGATTTTTCTTACAACACAAAATTAGCTCATACAAACTTTCCTGCTTCACAGTGTGCCAAAGCCCCTTGGAACCCATTACTTCGATCTGGCCCTGTGTACCTTTTTCTGATGTCCTCTGCCATCATTCCCCCATAAACTCCCTGTGCTCCAGCCATGCCTGAAGTTAAATACTCAGCCACACATTTGTTTGTACATTTTCCTTTGCTTGGAACGGGTAACTCCCCCCTAGCAGACACATTGATCCTCTAAGACTAGACTGTCTTCTGTCCTGTGAAGCTTTCCCACACTTACCCAGCAGAGACAACCACACAGCCCCTCTTGTCTAGCCACTACCCTATTGCACGTACACATACACTGTAGCTTTTCCTATCACTCTCCCTGATTCGATTGAGTTCTTTTAGGACAGAAACCCCAGTAGATGCTGTGTACACATACTGTTGACAAAAAAGAGTAAGTAGCACAGTTTACTGTTACCATACTATTGTCGCTGAAAATATATGGGCGTATGCGCTTTGGTAAATTACACCATCATATAAACAGTATTGAAAGTGTAAGCTGGAATATCCCTTTGGAAAACTGTTGGTCATTATCTTCTAAAGTTGAACGTACCCATACCTTATGACCCGGCGATTCCTCTGCTAGGTAGACCCAACAGAAACGCATGCATATGTACATTAAGAATCATGCACAACTTTTTTTCCGCCATCTTGGAGTGTGCGGAGGCCTGCTGGGAACAGGACTCCTATAACACCAAATAATGTCTGGAAGGCTGTGGTCCAAGGCTATTTTTGCTGGCTATAAGCGGGGTCTCCGGAACCAGAGGGAGCACACAGCTCTTCTTAAAATCGAAGGTGTTTATGCTCGAGATGAAATGGAATTTATCTAGGCAAGAGATGCGCTTATGTGTACAAAGCAAAGAACAACACAGTGACTCCTGGTGGCAAACCAAACAAAACCAGAGTAATCTGGGGAAAAGTAACTCGTGCTTATGGAAACAGTGGCATGGTTCGTGCCAAATTCCGAAGCAACCTTCCTGGTAAAGCCATTGGCCACAGAATCCATGTGATGCTGTACCCCTCAAGGATTTAAATTTAATGAAAAGTAAATAAAGGTGTAGATTTGTTCTCTTGTAAAAAAAAAAAAAAAATCATGCGCAAGAATTCTCACAGCAGCATTATCATTAGTAGTTAAAATCTGGATATAGTTCAAATGTTCATCAGTAGTAGAATGGATAAATTATGTATTCATAATGGAAATGGAGTGGAAAACCACAGCAATAAAAATAAATGAACCACAGCTATATACAAAAAAAAAATTAGGATGAATTTCACAATGTTGAGTGAAATATCCCATATATACACATATCCCATATTTCATTTATTGAAAGTTTAAAAACAGGTAAGATGACATAGTATTAAAAGGACGGTGGGGGGACAAAAGGGCTCGTGATAGCGAGTGGGCATCAGAGAGACTTTTGGGTGCTGGCAGTGTTCTGTTTCTTAACTAGATAGTAGCTGCATGGATGTTTGTGAAAATTTATTGAAATGTACATTTGTTTTTTGCACATTACTTTTTGTGTATGATAATAAAAATGGTTAAAACCATAAATAATTAAACAATGAGATGCCATGTTATACCCATCAAATTAGCACTGACTTTTAAAAATTTTAATACTCAAGGCTGGTGTGAAATGGGTCTGTGCTATAAGACTTAAACCTTCATATACTTCCAGTGGAAATAAAATGTATTCTAACCTTTCTGGAAAGCAGTTTGGTAGTGATTTTGAAATATTTAAAGATATTGATCCCTTTTATTTTAGTTGTTCCCTCTTAGGAATCTGCCATAATGGAAAAAAATCTGAAGTGTGAATGTAGATATGTGCATAAAGATGTTAATCACAGTATTTTCCATAGTATAAAACCAACACTAGAGAGGTGGATTATGTAAATTATGATGCAATATTATTAAAACCACTAAAATTTTTATTCATGAAGAGTTTTTCATGACATAGGAAAATGCTTATTCGTTAAAAAGAATATGGAATTATAGGTGTAATGTGATCTCATCTATGTTTTTAAAAACAGTAAACAGACTAAAATGTGCAAAGTATGCTAAATATTGCCAGTTATGTTATGATTATGAATTTCCTCCCAGCTTTTTATATTTATTGTATTTTTCCAATTTTTCTGCAAAGAGCCCAGATGTTTTGATATTTTGAGGGGAAAAAGCTACAATTGAAGCTTAGCTTTATTTTCTGGCTCCACAGGTTATTTTTTCTTAATATCTGCCTACCTTTACATTTCTTTTTTTTTTTAAATAATTTTTTATTGTTATGTTAATCCACCTTTACATTTCTTAATATATCTGTCTCAATTTTAATTTTCTGAAGATTATAAATAGAAAAAATTAGGTGAATGTCTCTCTAGTCTTTCAGTCTGTAGGTAAATTTCCGCACTCCCATTTCTTTCCCAGGTTTGGGGATGCTGTGAAAGGTAATCTGGTGGTGGGTACCTTATCTTGGCCATCCCCATGGGTGATTGTCATCGGCTCCTTCTTCTCAACATGTGGGGCTGGACTTCAGAGTCTCACAGGTGCACCAAGACTGCTACAGGCTATAGCCAAGGATAACATCATACCCTTTCTGAGGGTGAGTAACCCTTTCCCATACCTTATTTCCTTTTTCTCAGATTTTATGAGAAACTGTGGTCTTCATAGGCTTAGGAATTACTAGATCATATAATGTGAAGACATGTGGCTTTTTATTTATTTTTTTTTTTAAGATTTTATTTTTATTTATTTGAGAGAGAGAATGAGATAGAGCATGAGAGGGGGGAGGGTCCGAGGGAGAAGCAGACCCCTGCCGAGCAGGGAGCCCGATGCGGGACTCGATCCCGGGACTCCAGGATCATGACCTGAGCCGAAGGCAGTGGCTTAACCAACTGAGCCACCCAGGCGCCCCGACATGTGGCTTTTTAGTACAAGACCTTCTAAATCCCTGTGAGGGATGAGTTTATATGTGAGTGGCGTAAAGGTATTTAAAAGATACCACAGTTGATAACACTATTATCCTTCATATATCTGAAACTGTAGCATAGAGGAATCAGGGAGCGTTGACTCTGGCACTCCCCACACACCTGTGTCTGATATTTCCCTTCTCTATACAGGTTTTTGGTCACAGTAAAGCCAACGGGGAACCTACCTGGGCTTTACTTCTAACTGCTGCCATTGCAGAGCTGGGGATTCTTATCGCCTCCCTGGATCTTGTGGCCCCAATTCTTTCTATGTAAGAGCCAGTTCTTCTCTTCACTTTTCTTGCTTATGTGATGTGTAATACATGTTGATTTCCATCAGGCATATAACAGTAGTGATAAAAGAGTGAGCCAAGGACAGGTATAACTTCACCTAAATAATACATATTCCTAAGAAGTTTCAAGTAAGGCTAACTTTTATAAATTGTCATGGTTTCTTCCTACCTGTATAACTTCACAAGTTCTTTGCCTTCATTTCTTATTCATTATCAGTTGATTGTAGCTTTCACTGCTACTCTTAGCTTTGATCCTTCAACTGCGACTTGGTGATGACTTAATACCCACCTGGCACTGGGCAGCATGCTAGGAATACAAAGATGGATGACACAACCCTAAGGAACCGATGATGGATAGACCAGTGATCCTTGGGTAGTGTGATGAGAACTGTGGTAAAGGTGAACACTGCTGTAAGAGCTCTAAAGCGAGGCACCTAAATGGACTGAGACTCAGGAAAGGTTTTCTGGAGAAAGGGACACTTGCATCTTGAAGGAGGACTGGTTACTTACTAAGCAACGAAAAGAGTGAGATGTCCAGACACGGAACGTGCGTAAAGGAATTGAGGATTGAAACAACGCAGCACATCTGAGAATTCACAGTAGTTTGGCTTTGATAGAAAGGAGTGTGCCTGTTCGGGGGTAGCTGAGCAGAGAAGTAGGTAGAGTCAGGTCACAGAAGACCCAGAACTCTTACCTGGAGGTAGTGAGTGATCCTTTGAGGATAGAATGATCATATTTATGTTTTAGAATGATCAATTTGGTATAAAAGACAAGTGAAAGGAGGCTAAAAGTGAGCTGGGAATGCCAACCGGAGGCTTATTTAATCCCGCAAGGAAGAAATGAGATCCTGAACTAAGATGATAGTAGTAGAGATGGAAAGGAGGGGAAAAGTTTAAAAATGTGTAAATAGGTAGAATCCATAGGACTTGATAAGTTAATTTGGAACAAGGATGAGTGACAATGAGGAAACGGATTATCCCAAGAACAACTGAGTAAAGAGTGGTTGTGTCTTTCACTGAGAGAGAACACAGGCAAATGAGCAAGTTAGTGGGGAGAAGTTAAAGTTCTCTCCATCCTAGTCTTAATCAAAGGCTAGTGGGCTAGAACAACAAGGTCTTTATCTATAATAACTCTTGGAGAATCATTTTACAATAATAATCATGCCTCTTACTGTTTTTATTCTGCCAGGTTTTTCCTCATGTGTTACCTCTTTGTGAACTTGGCATGTGCACTGCAAACATTACTTCGAACACCCAACTGGAGACCCCGGTTCCGCTACTACCACTGGTAAGTCTGCTCTTTTTCTTCTTCTTCCTGACATTTGGAGAGAACCCATCATTGAACTAGAAAACTAGGAGATTCTGGTGGTTAATACAATTTTTCTTGGCCAGCCATCCTACTGCCTGTTTCAACGTCAGTGATTACCTGAATTTCCACCACTTTACCGTGTTTGTCCATAGGTCACTTTATAATTTATAACACCCACTTGAGAATAAAGATCAAAACTATGAAATAAATATTTCCAGCCTGCTGCATTCTTCAGGTTAAACCAGCCTACCCTTTGCATATCTGTTTTCCCATTTCCCTCTTAGCCAAGCACTGGACTTTACCCCTTTCTATCTTTATTCTCATATTCTCATCAGTTTTCATTCTCGAACTCTCTTCCTTAGGAGGTTCATGTAGCAGGTAAGAGTATGAGCTATGGAGTCAGATGACCTTAGCTCAGTGTCAGCTCTACTATTTCCTAGCTTTTTAGCTTTTAACAAAGCACATAACTACATCAAATTTAATTTTATTCATTTGTGAAATGGGACTGATAGTATTACCTATCTCATAGGGTTGCTTTGAGATGATCTGAGGCGCTCAGCACAGTGCCTGCTACATAGTAAAGCTCTCAGTGAAACGTTGCCACAGCTGCTGCTGAGTTCACGTCTCCTCGGTCCTAAGGCAGTCATCATGCTTTTAGCTACCATCCCATCTCCTCCTTTCTTTCCTGTCTTAGCTAAAGGTTCTTTAATATGTCCTGTAGGCACCTGTTCTACATTCCTCTGTGCTAACTTCCTCCTTGACCCTTTCCTGACTTCACTTACCAGTGATGGGCAGGAGTGTGACCTTTATATGGTAAAAATTTATATCCTCACTGATTTTATCACCTCTAATCATCCTTCTAGCTTTAACCTTAATTAAATGTTCACTGTGAACTTTGTTGTGTTACTATTTTGCTTTTGTTACCTTTTCCCTTTATCCTTCTATTTTTTTTTTAAAGATTTTATTTATTTTTGACAGAGCGCACAAGCGGGGGAGCATGAGCAGAGGGAGAGGGAGAAGCAGGCTTCCCATGGAGCAGGGAGCCCGATGTGGGGCTTGATCCCAGGGCCCTGGGATCATGACCTGAGCCAAAGGCAGATGCTTAACCATCTGAGCCACCCAGGCGCCCCTCCTTCTCAGACCTATGTTTTTATTAGATCTAATTTTCTCCATATTAATAACTCTCCTGTTCACTCTCTGAAATTCATCATAGAGCTAAGAAGTTCATTCTGTACACAGAAGAACTTCAGTAAGCATGGTTGTCTACCTGATCTATTTGCTCAAAACAGGCATTCCATCATTCTCTGCCAAGTTTCTCTCTCTCTCTGAGAGACAGAGAAGAGAGTGAGAAAGAGCAAACACAAGTGGGGGGCGCAGAGGGAGAGACAGACTTTTTTTTCTTTTTTAAAGACTATTTATTTATTTGACAGAGCAAGAGAGCACAAGTAGGGGGAACAGGAGAGGGAGAGGAAGAGGGAGAAGCAGGCTTCCCGCTGAGCAGGGAGCCCGATGCGGGACTCGATCCCATGACCCTAGGATCATGACCTGAGCCAAAGGCAGACGCTTAACGACTGAGCCACCCAGTCGCCCCGAGAGAAAGACTCTTAAGCAGACTCCACACTCAACACTGAGCCCAGCACAGGGCTCGATCCCAGGACCCTGAGTTCATGACTTGAGCCAAAATCAAGAGTTGGACACTTAACCCATGAGCCACCCAGGTGCCCCTCTGCCAGGTTTCTGTTATGTAAAGTAAGGAAACTAATGGCAGATTTCCTTCAGTGGGTTCTGCACGTATGCTAATGAATGTTCATAAGGTTTTAAGCAATATTTACATGAAATACTTTTTTTAAAAGATCATGTTAATAATTCTGACTACATGCCCCATCCTTGCTTGCCAAGTAGGCATTAATTATCCTCACAACTACAGATAACTTTCATTACATCCTGTTCATTTATATGTTTTCCCAGCAATGGGAAACATCAGCACAAAGGATGGTTTGGGCCTCGGTGCAGATCTCCTGACTATTGCAGTCCATGGTAAGACAACTATAAAAATTGAGAAAAATATTTTGAAACTTTTATAGCAATTTGACATTCTCACAGCATCCAGGCATATAGTAATTTTTCTAGTAACTCATTTTTATTGCGTTTTACAGAAGTTCAGTCTGCAATATATTGGAATTTAAAAAATAATAGCAATCCCTCACCAGTTTGAGAAGCATCTCTAGCACAGGCTCCTTTTTTAGCTGCTTAGAAAAACACTTTTCTTGTTTGTGTTTTTGTTTTTAATTTTCTAGGGCCCTCTCTTTCATGGGAATGAGTATCTGTCTGGCTCTGATGTTCATTTCTTCCTGGTATTATGCCATTGTAGCTATGGTAATAGCTGGTATGATCTACAAGTACATCGAGTACCAAGGGTGAGTCTGTGGATTTGACCTTGATTACTGCTAAAAGTATCAAAATGGACTAGTTTGTGTAGAGCCAGCCCAATGAAAATTGCAGTAAGGATCCAGATAACCTCATTCATCTGTAACTAAATTTTGTATCCCCAATTCTTTTAGCCATCTTACAGACACAAACATACAGAATCAACAAGGGGAACCCATTGAGAAAGTATGAATAGATCAGTGAAAAAAGTAGCTTAAAGGACTTGTCAAAATAATAATGATGAGTATTAAAGTATAACACAAATATAAGTATTTTTGCTTATCTCTTCAGTCAAGGTATTATCTCTGAAATGAAAAAGAAATTAATCCTGAATAACTGTAACAACTAAGACTTCAGAAACAACTTGCAAAAATTAGGAATAAATAACACTGGTTCAGAAGATTACATTGAGTTTTGCTTTCTCCTCATTATTTTCAAAATTAAACTGGATCTGTCGTAATTTCCTCCTCCAAATTGCTGTTCTACATTATTGCTTTTGAACAGTTACATAGAAGGACAAGTGAGTGATACTTCCAGCCTTTATTTTGAATTGTTTATTGTACAGTGTGGTCCATTGATGAAGGACAGTGTGGATCTGCTTTTTGTGGGTTCCTTATGTTAATAAAGAGCATTATATAAATAATGAGTTTTAATTTTCTTCCTTGTGCATATGTTAGTTTTAGATAAAGAAAAAATAAACTTTGTTTTGAAATTGTACTTGCTATAGTTGAAATCTGTCTCTGCTTTTTTCTCTTTTGTCTCCCAGAGCGGAGAAAGAATGGGGTGATGGAATCCGTGGGCTGTCCCTCAGTGCAGCCCGGTTTGCTTTGCTCCGGCTGGAAGAAGGACCACCACACACTAAAAACTGGAGGTAAAGAAATCAGTAGAGCTTAGTGGTGTAGTGGCACATGGTTAACACACAGAACTGTGTGCTTCTGTGATTACAGGATAAGGAATTCAGGTGGCTCAAGGAATCGGTATAATGGACCCATTTTGAATGATTCCAAATCCTTCATACTTTATTCCCTTTTCTTCATGTGGTATCTGATCTAGACTTCAGCCATTTTTATTGTTCCTTGCAGAATGATCGATTTGTGGTAATACTGGGAGGATTGAAATAAACTACACCCTCATCCTATCGTTTCCTCTAATCTCTTCCTTCTGCCCAATTACAGTTTTATATAGATCTCCTGAATTAAAAGGTAGAATTGTCATTCTCTTCCCCAAACCCAAAGTTTTTTCTCCCTTTCACCCTCCCACCAATCTCTCTGCAGGCCTCAGTTACTTGTATTGCTGAAATTAGATGAGGACTTACACGTCAAGCATCCTCGCCTCCTCACCTTTGCCTCACAACTTAAAGCAGGAAAGGGTCTCACTATTGTAGGCTCTGTCATCGTGGGGAACTTCCTGGAGAACTACGGGGAAGCTTTAGCTGCTGAGCAGGTAGGAGTCAAGGCTTATTGACTTAGTGGAATTTAGCTTCTGGTTTTGTGATGTTAAGTTGTAAGATGTCATATTTCTAAGTTAATCCCTTTCCTGAGTGATCTAAGAGGTTTCCTTCTTAGTGCTGACTTTTGAGCAATCATATTCTCTCAAATAAGATGATGAACCAGAAGATAATAATTTATTTTTTCCATTTAAAAAGCATTACTAACTTTTAAGATTGTCAAGGCTGGGCGCCTGGGTGGCTCAGTCGTTAAGCGATTGCCTTCGGCTCAGGTCATGATCCCGGAGTCCTGGGATCGAGTGCCACATCGGGCTCCCTGCTCGGCGGGAAGCCTGCTTCTCCCTCTCCCACGCTCCCTGCTTGTGTTTCCTCTCTCGCTGTCTCTCTCTCTGTTAAAAAATAAATAAAAAATCTTTAAAAAAAAAAAAAAAAGATTGTCAAGGCTAAGCACTGTTTGCAAATAGACTCCAAACGTTGACTCAGGCCTTAGAGAAGTCATGTAAACAAATCTGTCCCTTGAACCGTGGAGATGGTTCTGCTCAATCTGGTGACAAGGAGCAATGAACAACTTTCCTTTCTCCTTGCCAGTCTACCTTGGTATCATGAGCAAGGTTCTTTTGCTTTACTTCTGATTAACTTGCCAAGTGTAAGTTCTCCCTAAAGAAGAAAGCAGTTTTCACTCTAATACTTATTATAAATGATAAAACCAACGCTTTTATTTCGAAAATTTTGCTGGATTTCATTTTGGAATACTTTGAAACCCTAAAAACTAGAAATACTTGAAGAAACATTAGTCTGGAATGATGGTAAAAATAAATAAAAAGCACAGGACTGGAAATCAGTAAAGCTTGCTTATTACCCTTGATGTATCACTGACTTAATCTGTGCTTTCAGGAAAATCCTGTCCTCTTTCCACACCATTATTCCCTTCATCTTTCCACTAAGAGAGTAAATGAAATATTATCTCCAACTTGGCTTGAATAAATAATAGCAAAGCAAAGACAGGGGTCATCAATAATCACCATTAAAATATCAAAACAGATGGAAATAGGAGAAACAGAAAAAAAAAAAAAACCATACCTGAGAAAATTTTTAAGTGAAACTGAATCATCAGATTGAGTTTCTAATAATACGAGTCAGGGTATCAGGGCGATTGAGGAAGGAAGTAGATCATGTTCACACTCAGCCTGGCCAGTTAAGAAAGAATATTGAATATTTGTTTTATGAAGATCCCTGTTCTTGATTTGTTTGGTATGTTACATAGAAGGGAAAGCAGAATAGAGGAAAAGGCAGAGGAATTCCATGTAGTCAACCAGCCATATATGTAGTAAGCACTTAGAGAGTGAAAAAGGCAAAGGATAATGAAATTCCATTGGGCTAATTTTACTTTTTGGACTTTTCTGTAGGAGATATGGTCTTATGCAGAGTTTGGAAAAGAGGAGGAGATTATAAGACAAGGAGTAATAGATTAAAAGGTTCAGGGTAAAGCAATTCAGCATTGAGGTTCTCTTTTTCAGACCATAAAGCATCTAATGGAGGCAGAGAAGGTGAAGGGGTTCTGCCAGCTGGTGGTGGCGGCCAAGCTGAGGGAGGGCATTTCCCACCTCATCCAGTCTTGTGGCCTTGGGGGCATGAAGCACAACACAGTGGTGATGGGATGGCCTAACGGCTGGCGCCAGAGTGAAGATGCTCGAGCGTGGAAGACTTTTATCGGTACAGAACACTTTTCATTTTATCCTGAGGGCCAAAATAGGGATTACAGTTAAACCTCTGTTGTCTTAACCCTACCCCATAGCCTCCTAAAGTAGAGACTGTGCCGTTGCTGAAGCATAGTCCTATAAGGGCACCTAAGTAACTACTAACAGTAATAATCCTATTCTCTTCACCGCCTCCAGCTTTATATTATGTTCATGAATTGTTTATCTCTGTCAAGTATTATGCCAGGAATTATCTCTGAAATTGCCCTATTTTCATTTGTGATCTGCCTCATTGATGTTCTCACAGGAATTGGGAGGATTATCTTTCATCAAAATCACCAGAATCCACATAACCCCCCTTAGAAATGTAGTGATCAGAATATATCTAGTAATATAAATCATGGTTCTGAATCTAATTCTGTTATTCAGATTTTTCTTAATGATTGTTGTTACTTGATGAGGTATAACCCACTATGTAAACAGAATACCTTGCTTAAAGAAATGTAAAAATGTACCCTTGCTTTCCTGACATGGTGGGAAGCAAGGCAAGCCTCAGGAGTCCTCTGTTTATCCTGATTCTGTTTCCTCCCTAGGCACAGTTCGAGTGACAACTGCTGCCCATCTGGCCCTGCTGGTGGCTAAAAACATCTCCTTCTTTCCCAGCAATGTGGAGCAGTTTTCTGAGGGCAACATTGATGTGTGGTGGATTGTGCATGATGGGGGGATGCTCATGTTATTACCATTCCTACTTAAACAGCACAAGGTATTTTAGATACCTTTTGAAAAAAGTCTTTCTCCCTTAATATCATCCTGATTCACTAGACAGATCCTTCCTCTTTGATTATAGTGTTGGGGCTTAGGATCAGAAGAGTTGGGGATTTTTCTTAGCTTTCCCATGATCCTACTTTCAACCGTATGAGAAGTAGTTTTCTTTCTAGTTGATACCTACCTACCTCTAAGTGAAATTCAGCAAGTTAATAAAGTTCCAAATGAGCTCTTGGAAAAACATTAACAAGTGATACGTCCGTTTAAAAAAAAAAAAAAAGACCAAAGTCTCTCAAATACTGGAAACCTGTGTTGAGGTGTGTGGGTATCTTATACATAGGTGTGCTCATCCTTTGGTAAGACTAGTTAAACTGAACTTTAAAATAATAAATATTAGAGTCTGCATGGGGACATCAATATGCTATCTGAATACAGCACCCTCTTAATGTATCATATATATACCCTTTTGCCAGTTTTCTTCTTGTTAGGAAATTGAGAACTTTTTTTTTCCTCTTTAAATTTTTTTATTGTTATGTTAATCACCATACATTACATCATTAGTTTTTGATGTAGTGTTCCATGATTGTTTGTGTGTAACACCCAGTGCTAAAAATATGGAACGCTTCACGAATTTGCGTGTCACCCTTGCGCAGGGGTCATGCTAATCTTCTCTGTATCATTCCAATTTTAGTATATGTGCTGCCGAAGCACGGAAATTAAGAACTTCTTAAAAGCTGTTTTTAATGTGTTTCTTAGTCAAGCTTTTGCCTTCATACAATAGTATATCAAGTTAGAAACTAAGAACAACAAATATCCTGATACTATAGCAAGGTTGTCCAAAGCAAAAAATGTCTTGTGTTTTAGGAATAACTTTTTTTTTTGGCCTTCTTGCATCTCACTTTCCATGTATGTATGGTACTTTCTCAGGTGTGGCGAAAATGTAGCATTCGGATCTTCACAGTAGCCCAACTAGAAGACAACAGTATTCAGATGAAGAAGGACCTGGCTACCTTCCTCTACCACCTACGCATCGAGGCAGAGGTGGAAGTGGTAGAGATGGTAAGAAAGCTGAGTTTGAGATCAAACAGACCACCCTTCCCCCACTTCCTACGCTGTCTTCCTAGAACTTTTTCTGGTTTGGGAAATTGTTCAGCTGCAAATGTGGATTAATCCCTTAGTTCCAACAAAGCCCTAATATATTGATCTAGATGAGTAGAATATGAATGTGTTGTGTATTTGGTGGTGTTGTTTTATTTTTGCTTTCTTGTTATACAGCCTTTATATTTCTACCAGATTATTGTCTGCTTAATATGGTTTTATTAAGTTTTAGTTCGTATATGCATGTTAAAATCACACATAGTGCTTTTTTTTAGTAATAACCTGGCAGTATTAAAAAAAAAAAAAGGGCGCCTGGGTGGCTCAGTTGGTTAAGCGACTGCCTTCGGCTCAGGTCATGATCCTGGAGTCCCGGGATCGAGTCCCACATCGGGCTCCCTGCTCAGCAGGGAGTCTGCTTCTCCCTCTGAACCTCTTCCCTCTCATGCTCTCTATCTCTCATTCTCTCTCTCTCAAATAAATAAATAAAATCTTTAAAAAAAATTAAAAAAATTAAAAAAAGACTAGAGTTTGTATTTTGTTTCAAGGAAACATATATGTAATGGTTAGATTATGGAAAAGACTCTCAGGACTTCTAGATTTGCTCTACAGTCCATAATATTATATAGCTCAGTAACTGAACAAAATAGGAGTGAAACTTAGGTTGATATTGTGATACTTTCTCTGGCTTAATTTAGCGAGTGGAAATGAAAGTGTATGGTTCATCCTTCTTTCTCCTTTGTGCTTATTGCCCACTCTTTGTGTTATCTATGGCAGCATGACAGTGACATATCTGCTTATACTTATGAGCGCACCCTGATGATGGAGCAAAGGTCCCAGATGCTCCGGCACATGCGACTGTCCAAAACAGAGAGGGACAGAGAGGTGAGACCTTCCTGTATTCATTGAATGCTAGTCTGTCCCTGAGAGGGATGATACTATATTGTTCTCATAGAATGACACATTCTTTCCTTCTCCCTTTATCAGTTCTTTCACTATAACCACATTATTATTTGAAAATAATTGAAGCTGAAGCGTGAGAGGGAATTGGGTACAGAGGTCATAGCTGTGTTGGGCCCTTCTCAGGCACAGTTGGTGAAAGACCGGAACTCAATGCTGCGATTGACCAGCATTGGCTCTGATGAGGATGAAGAGACAGAAACCTATCAGGAGAAGGTGCACATGACTTGGACAAAAGACAAGTACATGGCATCCCGGGGACAAAAGGCTAAGTCGATGGAAGGATTCCAGGACCTGCTTAACATGCGTCCGTAAGTTTTCCAACTCACAAGCTTATCATATAATATGGTATCCTAGTCAGTGGCACACATGTGACTTTGCCTGGATACACAGGATGAGGTCTGTTCTTCATTTCACCCCAAATCCAGCCATCTCTCTGTTACTTGCCTGTGCGTATCAGCTACCAGTTAACATTGTGCATAAGCTAACCACCTTTCTCACCATACTGTGTTCCTGGCATAAAACAAGCGAATGTGGAATGAGAAAACCCAGGATATTAGTATAAGGAAATCATTTGTTCACTACATTATTCATAGTCAAAGCAAAAAAGCTCTGTATCTCAGGGTTTTTAAAGTTGACTATATGCCTAACTTTCTCTTTGCCTTAACCACCTCTGTTTCTCCCTTCCACCCGTCCAGAGACCATTCCAATGTGAGGCGGATGCATACGGCAGTGAAACTCAATGAGGTTATAGTTAACAAGTCCCATGAAGCAAAGCTGGTTTTGTTGAATATGCCAGGGCCACCCCGAAACCCTGAGGGTGATGAAAACTGTATCCTTTCCAAGAGTGGAGCTACCAGTAGGGAAAGTCTTAGCCTGTTTCTTAGATAAGACCACTAGGTAACCTTAAAAGTCATTGTCTGTGCCCATATTTGCTTCTCAAGGAGCAAAGGCTGTTAAAAGTCTTATGCAAGGATTCTTACACAGCAGTGAAATTGATCTCCTTTGGGGGAGCTGGGTATATATGTTCTCTCTGAACCCTAAAGAGACTTTTTAGGTGGTACATTTGCAACATGACTTCTAATATTCACAGTATAGAATCCTTTCTGAAACAGTCCTAGAGACACAATACCCAAATCCTTTCTCCTTTTCTCAGGCTCCTTCCACTTTGCAAAGCGTCTTTCTTGTGGATGTAGTTAGGGGAGAAGCAGTTTAAGTGAAATCTCCTCTGAGGGGAAAAAAGAGATAAGGGTTTTTCCTCATACCCTGATCACAGGATTTTTTTAATGGGACCCCTTCAAGAATGCAATGGTATAGACTGGCCCATTCCCATCAGTACCATTAAGGAAAAGAGATTAAGAAAAAAAAAAAAAACTGGCAGAAAAATCTGATTTGAGCAGCTTCACTTAGAAATTACTTGGGTTCTCTTGAGCAGTCATAAGCTGCCCTGTTGTGGCCTTTTCTTCTTTTTTGGCTTATTTTGCTGTGGTACAAACACATTACTTGTGAGTTTCCCCCATTTGTAAAGTTACATTTAGAAAAAAATCTAACAAATGAAGGTCTTGTATTATATATGCAAAGGAATTAGATCCCTGGATTATTTCACAGGGTTAAATTGAATCCAGAGTTCAGACGTCTCCAACTCTGAGTATATATGATAATGAAGACAAGCATGTTCATTTTGCAGTCAGATAAACCCCGATTATCATGTCAGGTTATAAAGTGTGTTCTTCTCCCCGTTTGTCTCCTTGACAAATTCGGAAGACATGGAGTTCCTAGAAGTGCTCACCGAGGGACTAGAGCGAGTCCTCCTTGTCCGGGGTGGTGGCAGTGAAGTGATCACCATTTATTCATAATCTACTCCTGAAGACTCTGCTTGGCCTCACCTTTCCTAAAAGGCTTCCATTCTCCATGGAAGTGTCAGCTCTTTACTACTACTCCCATCAAGTAGAGGCCTCGGTTCTGCACACATCACACTGAACTCTTGACAAGCTGAGCCTCGAGTACTTGTGCAAAAAAGTACACGTAGTTCTGCTCTTTGCTATCATACGATCTGCTGTCCTTACAGAAGAAGCAGATATTTCCTCAACATCAGAACACTGGTCAAGTCCTAAAAGCCATGTCTGTACTAGTTGAAGGCAAATTAGAATTAACAGGCTAAACCATTAAAATGAGTTGGCAAAAGGGATGCTAGAAATTCAAGAAGACAAAAAGCAAGTACATGTCCAACATTAAAGGGGAGTCTCAGAAGTCATGGTCCAATGATGACACCATGGGGGTAACAGCCAGAGACACAGCTTCATCATACTAAAGAATTCATGGCCAAGTATGTGGAGACCTAACATCCTTGTGGAGATAACCTGTGGCAAACCAAGATGAAAATCTTTTTTAGCTAATTTTCTTTAATGTTTCCATTGCTCTCCAGGACTCTATTTTATATTAGGGTACTATACAAAAACTGAAACATGGCTATAGCCTCTACTTCTTCCTCCAACACAAGATTCCCCCAAAATACCAAGTTCGGGTACACGTACTGTGTCAGTTTATATGTCTGCTGGTTCTCAAAACCCAGTCTGTGGTTAAGATTGTAATACACGCATTGTTTTATCCTGGAAATTGTTTTTTTAAAGGTGGAGTAAAAATTTCTTTCAGGTTCTTTTCAAATGGCCAAATTAGGGTAACTCCAAATTAAGATCTATTGAAACCGTCTGTGGTTACCATGTGTGACATGGTCAAAACAAGCAAGCTGTTATCCAAGAAGTCTAGATGATGCACATTGACCAGTAGTTTCGCCTCTCCTTTCTTTTATGCCCTCCGGGTTAGTAGGCACAGGTCCAAAATCATAGGAATAAAGTAGGAAGACTGGCTAAAATCCTTCCCTGAAAGCTATGAACTATCTTTTAAAGGGGGAATCCAGCAATGGAATTCGAAGTTCTAGAGCCATACTCCTTCCATAGTGCCAAAGATTGAGTTGCTGCTACTCTCCCTACCTGCTTCACTAAAGTGGCATACGATTGGCATTGACCTGATTCAAGAAACTTATTTTTCCCTAAGAAACCTGTGCACTCATTTCCAAAGCCATAGCCAAGACTTGAGGCACTCAACTCACCTAAATGCCCGGAGTATGAGCGTTTTTATCAATTTTATTCTTCATTGTGACCGCAGGAACTTGGCTCTGAACCAAGATTATCCAAGCCAACAGTCCTCTGCTATTCCGATTGTTTTCAGAAAGCTCTCAGTGTGTCGAGGAAGTACTTGTACAAGCTTAGCTTTTTATTTGCTGGTCATAAAACATTTACTGGTCATTTTAATTTACTGGTCATAAAACACCTAGCTTTCAAGCATAGGGAAACTACCTTGAGTGTTAATTAATTTCACAAATATGTGAAAGGGTCCTTTCTTTTATAAGTATTTAGAAAAACTGTTTTGCCTGTATTCATGACTGCTTTTGAATCACTTTATTAATGATAAATAGTGCCACTCTTCTTTGATCACCCAATAGGATATGGAGCAAGCAAACCTAGGGCCCAGCAGATTATTCATTTGACTCTTATGGACAGAGAAAACCCTTCAGTATGGCTTAAGAAATTGAGTATTTTGTTCCCTTTGCTTTTTTCAACCTCAAGACCCAGTCAGGGTAGCAAAGCAAAACACAATCTTTAAGTCTTTTTTCCTGCTCCTTCCTGCAGAGGGTAGAAGCATTGTTCACAATTTCCACTGTAATACTCTGTTGTTTAGTTGAGTCCACAGTAGTGGAACAGGTTCTCTAGGACCCAAGATATTGAAGCCCCCATTCTTTAAAGGTCAGCCTGCCCAGGAATTCCTCTACATTTACACACATCCTCTGGCCAAAGTGGTTGATACATATATTTTTTTTTTCCACATAGAAAAAATATGGGCAGAAAACAAGGTTTTAGAAGAGCTTTTTGTGGTTGGAGCTCTTTAAGAATCTTTTAAAGGGATAAGGGAGTTCATGGCTATTAATACAGCCACTACTTCAGCCCCTAAAACATAAAATCACTTACATGGGAAAATGGTTATAAGGCCAGATTTAAACTCATCTCTGTCTAGAGCATTTCACGTCCATGTGTTGCTTATGTTGTTCGTCTGTGAAGTGTCTTGTCTCTTCTAATCACTGCAAATAAAGCAATACTGAAAACTTGGTAAGAGAGAATGCACCTTAGGGGAAGGGCTTTTGTGTTTCAAGAAGGAAGAGAAAGGAAAGACCTCTTCCTGCCTTCTGAATAAGATCCAGCTTTTAAGTCTTAGCTAAGATTCACCAGGGCAGGTTATGACAATATACATTCTCCAGTTGCTGGCCTTCTGCCTTGTAAAGCTATCTTAAAAGCTGAGGTTTGAATTGCAGCATCTGCTCCACAGGTGCCTGGTTCCTCTTGGCAGGGGAAAGATCGTTACCGTGTATCTTCCTTTGCCTCAGATTCCTGTGGCCCCAACTAGCCCGCCAGTCCTCACTCCCCCTAAATGTGTTAAAAATCCATTATTGTAGATGTTAAAGTAGCAATTACACTGTAAGCATATTTATGTGCTCTTTTTGTCTGGTTTATTTTTCATCATGTATAATCTGAATCCAGCATTAGTTTCTCACATCTTCCACAGTGTCTCCAATAGAATTTTTATGTTCCAGCTTGTGTTAAATAGAAGTGAAACATTAAGGAAAACAGAGTTAAGGGAAACTTGTGCAACTTTTTTTTTTTAAGCATTGTTCTCAACCATTTAATTTATTGAAAGGAGATGCTGCTGTGGTTCTTGATTTAGCAGCAACCATTCTTTTGTTTACGTAGAGTTACAGTTTTATTTGTTTTGCTCTGTACTGGAAACACAAATAAAGTTTTCTACATTATTTTCAATCAAGGGTTGTGGTTTAGTTTCTTTGTGTGTTTGGAGTGATACATACATTGTCTTTCTGGGATTCATCTCCTTACCATGGAATAAAGAGAGCTTTGGGTTCTTTTCAGCATGAGTGATAACGTTAAGAATTAGTATGCTGAGAAGGAGCCACTGGGCACAAAAAGAAGGTTGTAAATGAGATCCCAATACATAGGCACCAGGTGCTTCTTTCTCCTCTTCACAGAAGCAATCCTCCACCACTAAACTCCATCCTCTGAAACAAACAAGAAAAGGTAAATAGGTGATTGGTGAATTGGTGTTGAACTAACTTATGGAATCAAGTACTTTATTTAATCACTGGCTCTATTTAGCTTTACCCTTAAAAAAGTAACAACTTCCAAACTCCCAAGGGATCTTATTTCTTAAAAATAAGCTCTAGTACCAACTCAAATCCCCCACCATCAAATGGGTCTGCTATTTACGTTACAACTGCCCAAAATTTAACTTTTCCTTTGCCTTACCTCAGGGGGCTCAATGAAGGCTAACCAGTCTGATGCATGTGTAGGCAACAGTCCCATTGACTGGCACTTATAAACAGCCAATGCCAAACCCATGAGGTTTCCAATGAGATACACTAAACCCTGAAGAAACTTCTGGCTTGAACTTTCTAGCATCTTGAAAGCTGTTGGGGTAACAAAAAGTGTCAAAACCAAAACAACTTTTTTTTTAATATCAGGCCACATTTTAAAATAATATAGAGAGACCCGAAGTAAAATAGCAAATAGGACCATTAAAAGTGAACAAAAAGCCATGATAAGCTCCATTTCCCTCCTCCACGCCACCATCTCTACCATCACCACCCTGTACACCCTCCCCCTGGCAACTAGCCAAGAGCAGTACTAAAGATTTTCATGGGTTTCACTAAAATTTGTCTTTAATTCTTAAAACTTAAGGAAGGGTGGTTGTATGAAGAATACTTACTGGCTGAAATGGCCATAAGTGCCTGAATGGGCCGCCAAGCCATCATACACACCATCATAGTAGGGAAGATGGAGATCGTATTGCCTGCCATGTACATGATGAAGAGGTTCATGGGAATCTGCTTGAGGGGACCCAAGGCGATGTCCCAGCAGCGCTAAAACAAACACAATTTTAACCTATGATCTCTATCCTCAGTCCCACATTTATCGGATCACTGATGTTAAAGTCAAATGAACACAATTCCCAGTTCTGTGCTCCTGACTGAGCTGACTCCTCAGTTCCATCACTTCTGTCTGCCCTTCTCCATGTTGCCACAGGAAGCTTGCTCTTCTAAAAATAAGGCATCCTCACCATTCATGTTTTTTCCTACTGGTTTTCCAGATACCATTTCCCTCCATGATTTGGCTAAAGCAAAAAAGACTTCCCTACTTTTGTTCTTGTACTTCTGCATCTCTCACTGCCCCATCTACAATTGAAATAGGTAAATCCATAGGGTGGGAGATTAGCACACCTCAATAACTAAAAGAACAAGATGACAAATCAAAATATTAAGATCTAAATGACATTATTAACTGACATATATAGAACACTGCACCCAACATTTGGAGAATTCACATTCTTTTCAAACACACATGGGACACTTACAAAAGCTGACCACTTGCTGAGCCTTGAAGAAAGTGTCAACTCAACCCAAATCATACAAAGCATGTTCTTTGCTTATGATGCAATTAAGCTAGAAATCAGTAATAAAAAGAAAACTAAAAATTCCCTACATACTGGAATTAACAAATGCATTCTAAATCCATAAATAAAAGAAATTATAATGGAAAACAATATATTGTTAACTGATAACAATAACAAAAATGCCACATATTACCCTTGTGGGACATAGAGCACTGAAAAATGTATAATACATATTTAGAAGACTAAAAATAAAGCATCTGGGGCGCCTGTGTGGCTCAGTCAGTTAGGCATCTGCCTTCAGCTCAGGTCATGATCCCAGCGTCCTGGGATAGAGCCCCGCATCAGGCTCCCTGCTCAGCGGGGAGCCTGCTTTTTCCTCTGCCTCTGCCTGCCTATCTGCCTACTTGTGATCTCTCTGTCAAATAAATAAAATCTTATAAAAAAAATAAAGCATCTATTTCTTTTTTTACAATTTTTTTTAAGTTTTAATTCCAGTTAACATACAGTGTAATATTAGTTTCAGGTGGTACAATATAATGACTCAACACTTCCATACAAGCTCATCACAAGTGCCCTCCTTAATCCCTATCACCTCTTTCACCCATCCCCCCACCCACCTCCTGTCTGGTAACCATCAGTTTGTTCTCTATGGTTAAGAATCTGTTTCTTGGTTTGCCCTCCCCTCTTTTTTTCCCCTTTGCTCATTTGTTTCTTAAATTTCATATATGAGTGAAATCATATGGTATTTGTCTTTCTCTGATGTACTTCACTTAGCATGATACCCTCTAGCTCCATCCATGTCATTCTCAGCATCTATTTCAATAAGTTAGAAAAAGAAATAGATTAAACCCAAGGAAATGAAAAGGAAAAATGAGAAAAGAAATTAATGAATTTTTCTTTAAATCAACAAGGCTAAAGGTGTTTGTTTTTTTTTAAGATTTTATTTATTTGAGAGAAAGAGAGCATATGAGGGGGGGAGGGTCCGAGGGAGAAGCAGACTCGCCGCTGAGCGGGGAGCCCGATGCAGGACTCAATCCTGGGACTCCAGGATCATGACCTGAGCAGAAGGCAGTCACTTTAACCAACTGAGCCACCCAGGCGCCCTAAAGGTGTTTTCTTTTAAAGATTGATAACATCAATACTGGTGAGCCTGATGAAG